AGATTAGGTCTCTGATTACCATTCCTCACTAAAAGGAAGCAAGGATCCTTAGGATTAATGGCTGGTTTCAGGGCTGAGACTATGCTTCATATATAAAGTGAACTGAGACAACTGTCATATTAGATAAGTAGGAAACAATCAGAGACTGCTGGGGTCATATCAAAAGGAATCAGCAAACTTGAAGCAGCTCCCAAGGGCCAAAGATAGGACAATGTGAACAACAATAAGGATAATAACTGCAATGGCTTGAAACCCATTGAATATGTTCAAACAATGAGTTTATTATGGTATCAAAGAACATAACTCTCACTGGACATCTTTGAAAGATGCCAGGTGTATAACATACTATACAAAACATTGTTCCACCTCCTACTTTGGTGAGTAGTGACTGGGGTCTTAAAAGCTAGCAAGCTGCCATCTAGATGCAACGATGGGTCTCTCCTCATCAAGAGCAAAGAAGAAAGAAGAAAACCAAAATTAATGGAAGCAATCAGTCCTCGAAGCTGGTACACCATCTGATCTGCAACCTATACAACTATGAGACCAGAAGAACTAGATGGTGCCCGGCTACCACTGTCATCCACTTGGAAGGGATGTAGGAGATCCTGGATAGAGAGGGAGAACAATGTGGAACAAAACTCAAAATCATTTGGAGGGAAAAAAAGAAAAAAAAAAAGATGATTGGGACCAGGTTTGCTGGTCCAATAGAGCCTGGTGGAACCACTGAGACTATGGCCCCTAGCTGCCCTTCAGGTCTGGAATTGAACCCACACCTGTGGTTTCCAGCCAAGCAAAGTACAGGCATGTGAGTTAAACATTTACCTCAAGTAGACACATGCCCTCGAGAGAACAATCATGGGAGAAGGAAGGGCTGCTTATGCACAGGGAGACAGCTCAGGGCACAGGAGAGTATGGAGGGATGGTCACTGGGAAGAGGTAACTATGGAGAGGAAGTGGGAGAGGAGCTGTTGCATTGTGGTAAACTGTGGTCAATGACATGAGACAAAGTATATGTGAACTGCTGTATGGAAAGTGAATTTGCTCTGTAAATCTTCACCCAAATCACAATAAATAAAAAAATAATAATTAAAAAAAAAAAGAAAAAAATAAAAAGATGCCAGGTGTGGTGCAGTGAATTACTATATGGCTCTTCTCGCCATTATCTTTGTGATTCCCATCAGATGACGGGTAAGACTATGCAAATGTGAGGTGCCTGTGGTCCACCAATGGGACTGGATAGCTTGTTAGTAATGTAAATAAGGTACAATGCACCCTTGTGGGGGTGGGACCATGGAAATAAGATATATGGAATCCTAATGTGGGGATTGGTCAGTTTTGTCATTCCACTAGGCTTAAAATGAGCCATCCTAGAAGCGGAAAATTGGGATTTCACTACTATCAAGACAGAGCAGAGACGGGATTGGAACATGTCCTTGGACTCACCATCCCTGCGCTGAGATGATAGCAGAGAGATGGTGGCAACAGAGGCAACAGAACCAAGAGACCAGCATGAGGCAGAGCAGTGGCTTGTTGGCCCACAGAGTGAGAAAGCTAAGTGCCTTTGGGAAGGAGGCTTGCTGGCAGAGAGGGGTGCACCCAGGTGTACCTGTTGTCAGAGCTGTAAGAGCTTTGTAACACTTGCCGGAGCAGGGTAAAAACCAGGCCAAGTGGCCATGGGCCAAAAAGAGGCATGCCTACATACAATTCTAAGAATTGTATCCTGAGTATTCCTTAACCTGAAGTGTACCCTGTTGCTTACGTTATAAATCATGATTATTGTCTGTGTTCTGTGTGGCCATTTCAATGAATTACTGAACCCAGCAGAGAAGCAGAGAGTGCCATGGGAGGGACGGTTGTTGTCACAATTATTAAAGAGGCTACAGCGTGGTAGCATGTCTGACTTCTGCCTTGTAGTAATCAGCAGAAGGGCTGATGTTGCTGATGATGAGTCTCTCTCGCCCTCCTGAAGCTAGAGAAAGTCAGAGGCTGCTGCCCCAATGCCCTTTGTGCACCAGAGAATGAACTTATTTTGAAAACTGATCAGTAAAGAGGAAAAAGTCAAGAATTTATTCTGCGTTTCCTACACAAACTAAACCTCAGGGTAACTAAATGGTTGATGAAAAAGTTTCTCTTAATAGAAGTATCCCAGCTAATAAATGAAAAAGAAACAATAGCCTTACAATATTATTTGCAACCTCTACAGAAGAAATAGATCTATGTAGTAGATCTATGCAAAAGCTGCTGGTATAATGAGAGAGGCAACCAGATTATTATTTGCCTCCCATTTGAAGTACCCATCACCACCACTAATAAAGTAGTCTTGCGAAAATAATTTTAACTTGCATTTGCAGGAATCTTGAATTTACAAGAAATAGAAAGGACAGGGAACATGTTAAAAGACACTACCAAGATGCACTAAGAAAACCCAGACTGTGAGAAATTCTAAAGGTCAAACAACCCCATAGTCAGTCCATCTCCTAACAAGCCCCCCACATTATTCTAATATACATGAACATTTGAGAACTACTGCTACATATTAAAAGAGATTTAAGAGAAATATCAACAAATTACAGTGCATGGACCTCATTAAAACAAACAAATCATGAGCCAGTCAGGGAGATTTGAACAATGCATGGATATTTGATGGTATTAAGAAATTATTCCAAAATTTTTAGGTATGAATGGCATTGCTGTTATGTTTTCAAAGTTCTTATCTTTCAGAGATACATGCTGAAATATTACAGGTGAAATGATACGATGTCCAGGATCTGCTTCAAAATCATCAGGAGGTGAGGTGAGAAAATAAACAAAATTAACCATGTATCAATAATTGTTGAAGGTAGTGATGGGGACATGAGTTAATTATTGTGTTATCTCTACTTTTGTATGTTTGCAACTGTGAATAATAGAAAGTCTTTAAAAGCCCCCTCCAAAAATTATTTAACCACATTACATGGAAAGGGGTGTAACTAATACCCATAAACTACTAGCTTTTCTGACCTGGCACAGAGTGGAGCTACGAAAGGACAAAGAAGCTGGTTTCCACAGGGGACAGTGAGTGGAGAAGGTATAGAGAGCAAAACATTACCCAAGGAGGAAGGGCCCAGCCACAGTCCACAAGAGTGAGTTCCAAGCAGTCAGACCTTCCTATGTTGGTGGTGTGGTTCAGGGTATGATTTCATAAATAGAAAACAGGGTTGATGGCTGGCAATCTTGGTGATGCAGATTACTGTCTTAGACTGAGCCTGTCTGGTATCACAGTTATCATCATATACCAGTGTAGGCAGGGCACCTACTCTGTACACACCAAAATCACTCCTCACCTGCTGGGAGGTAAGAGGCTTGTGCCTCCAAATCACCTCCCACCCCTAACAGGAAGTTAAGAGCACACAGCTCTTAGAATGTGGCCAGATCCTTGGATTCTCCCACCGGTGTTCTACACAAGGGATTGGGTGGCATGCAGGCATCTGACCTATCACAGCACCATTTGGAAACACAAGGCAGCTGATAATTGTGTTAATAAAGTCTTGTAACCACTCAGTAAAGCAGATTTGCAGGCCCTTATTCTGTTGCTAAGGAGCCTTGGGAGTGCAGTGGTTGAGCGCTCAGCTGCTAACCAAAAGATATGTGGTCCAAACCCACCAATTGCTCCATGGGCAAAAGATAAGGCTTCCATAAAGATTATAGCCTTGGAAATGCTATAGGAAAGTTCTACCCTGTCCTATAGGGTCACTATGAGTTGGAATGGACTCAAGGGCAATGAGTTTGGGTTTTTTAGTTTGTTCTGTTGTTAGAGATATGACTGCTGAGCCTATGGGAAGAGAAGAAAAACCCCATAAAGCTCTCTCGACCATGTCTCACTCTTTGTCTGACTAAATAGGATAAGGATAGGTTCCTAGAAACCATCTTGACATACGGATTGATCACTTAACTGGCAACATGCTTCCTTTGACACCATCATGTACCAGGGCAATACAAAGAATATGGGATGAAATCTCACTAAGAGATTAATACGTACTCGGATACTGAAGCTTCTTCACAGCTCACCAAGCTTTTAACCTCTCTCACATACCTCATCCCATTCCTGGTCCCAGCCAGTGTTTTCTTCCTTCAGTCCCCTAGAGGTATTTCTCCTTCGTTCTTCCATCAGAAAGTAGAAGATCATGGAATTAATGACAGAATAATTCCTTAAACTCTCTAGGGACAGATATTGTCCTTCCCAATCTGTCTAGCCAAGCCATACTGCTATTAGTAGAACATCCCAAACTTCACTTCTATGTTGTCTTTCTTAATCATTTACTTCAGGGTGTCCAACCCAGACAGGAAGAGGAGCAGCTATACTCTCCTAGAAGGAAGTGGACTATCTGGTGCTCATGGAGAGGTCAGGTGGGCAGGGAGGAGGAATAGACTTTATTTCTTCAGTGACTATAGTAGGCTATGTTTTGAGATATGATTTCTTAAAAGGGTAGTGATTCAGGAAGAATCTACACTTTAATGTTGGTTCCTTGGTCTGGATGAAATTGTGTGGGGCTCCAGGCCCTCACATGACTTTCTGAGGAGAAGGCTGGCAGGCACATCACAGAGGAAAATACAGACAAGAACATGCTGGGTCATTGCAGAAGATGTCACACCCTATACCATGTACAAAGGGGAATGATGTGACCCTCAGCATAACTGGAAACATTTCATAACAAAGCTTGATTATAACAATGCTTTACAGGATGGTTGACAGTCATCTCAAAACACACGATAAGTCCAAACCCACAATGCCATTTCCACAGCATTTTGAAAAGCTGCCCATCTCCTGAGAAAAAGATTTGAGAAAGTTAGTGCATAATCTAAGGGAAGGGTCTTAAAGCAGAAAATATGTGATGGCAGCAGTTTGGGGTTTGTGGCTGCCTTTCTGTGCCACTCCATGGGACAGTGTGCAGCGTGCCCTGAAGCCTGGTTTAACAGGCAGATGGGCAAGGGCAAGGCTGGGGGAAGGAGAGGTGTCTGTTGCAGTCAATGCTCACAGCAGAGTCTTTGGGAAGAGAAATAAGCACAGATCTCCAGCCCCCTGGTGCTCCCATGGTCCCCTTAGAAGTCATAGGGGGACACGAAGATGGTGACCTTGGACACATGGTTTGCCTGGAAGGAGCGGTCCAGGTATTCTGACATGTCGACGTCCACCTCCAGCGTCTGAGGCCCCTCCAGGGTCTGGATGAGGATCAGTTCCCCTGTCTGCCGGTCTGAGCGCTGCATCACAAAATGGCCACGGCTGTTTCCACCCACAATCCCGAACCGCAGGCTGTTGGGCCCAGGTCGGCCAGGTGCTGAGGCTGTGGCCATGCGGAAGAGAGTGATGGGCGTCTTCAGGTTGGAGGGCAGAGAGAGGTAATGGAAGGAGATGGTCTTGGGCATATGGCGGCAGGGTCTGCTGTCCATGGGGCAGGGGTTTCGCTCACACTGGCTAGAGCAGAGAAGCAAAATGGAGGGAGTCGGCCTAGGGGAAACTCAAGAGGGGCTCCTCCACCCTAGCTTGTCTGCCCCACGTCCCCTCACAGTACCATCCAGGTGACCTTCCCCAATTAGAAGGACCCTCACCGTAAGCAAGTGAGTATGGGTGGCACTGGACATAGCCAGGGAAAGATGCTGCTTCTGTTTCTGATCTTGGGTGCTCCTCTCACCTACATGGCGCCTGTATTTCCAGGCACTTTGTGGACATTTATGTGAAAATATAGGTATGTATATGTGTGTATGTCCACCAACCATTGCCATTGAGTCAATTCTGACTTAAAGTGACCCTTTAGGACAGAGTAGAACTGCCCCATAGGGTTTCCTAGGCTGTAAATCTTTACTATGCCATCTTTCTCCCATGGAATAGCTGGTGGGTTTGAACTGGCAACTTTTTGGCTAACAGCCAAATGCTTTAATCAATGCACCATAAGAGCTTCTGTGTGTTTGTGTATATATGCTGTTATTGCAGTCTTCAAAGAAAAACAAAGTCCAGGGAGATTAGATAACAATGGTGATGTTGGTATTTAGAACAGGCACCTTGCCTACACGTGCTGAGACCTCGCTCAGTAACTGTGAGACCCTGGCAGTTACCTGGTAACTGCCTGGCATGTGGTGCTCCACACTGGTGAACTTTCCAAATAACTGATGTTTATTCCTAAAGCAGGAAACCTTGTCTTCTTTAACCATTTGGAATTAGGATCTTGGAAAATGCTTTATTCAGGTCCGATATCACATTTAACTATTAATCAGGGATTTACCCTGAGGCTGTAACATATAGGTCCCTCTGCTCCTTCACTGAGTGACTCCTGAGGGAGGTTCTAGTGTCTTCCCTCTCACTAGTAACTGCCACTCCTCTGGTGCCATGGACTGTCTTGCTGCTCCTAAAGTGCTAGAATCCAAAAAGCAATTCAAATGACTAAGTTTGTGATGTCAGTTCTATGAATTCCAAAGACAGTGCTAGGAGGGTTCTTATGATCTCTTTTCCAGAAGAAATTGCATGTACTTTGTGGTGACTGTAGTTATTCCTTTTTTTAAAAAAAAAAAAAATCAAAACTCTACTTACAGTTTAAGTACTGAGGTTACTAGAAGTTGAACCTTCTAGAACCAATGGAAAAGCAGAGTGATATAATGCAAAGTACACGGGATATGCAATCTGACTGGTGTCTCCTTGTTACTACTTACATGAGCCTGAGAAAATTATCCTCTCCCAAATTGATATATATATATACCTCCCAAATCAATAGATATAGATATATAGAGATAGAGATAGAGATAGAGATAGAGATATATACACCTGCCTCCTGGGCTGTTGGATTTATCTAGGTACCATTGCCAACAGCTTTCTTCTCTTCAGTGGCCCTCTCTGAAAGTGCCGCACTTGTATGGCTACAATCCCATCATCCTCTATGTCACCAGGGGACACTTTATACACTCCTGAGAGTTCTTATCACACCAGAGCAGCAATGCATTAAATGCAACCACAAAAGGGGAATGGAAACTCAGATAAGCCAGACTCCCAGCTCCCTGCTTTTCATCTTTCCTAGGAAATAACAATTCCTTCTCCTAAGAACCTCTAGGAAGAATCCGGTCCAGCTCACAGGGAGGCCTGGGTCAGGGATGCCCAGCTGTACTCACAATGGGGATGTCTTCACATAGCTCACATTGCCGCTGCCCTCAGGACACTCTGGGCTGACACACTGAAAGCCTCCACCGGTGTTGATGCACATAGTGCCCCGAGGGCACATGTGCTGTGAAGTCACACACTCATCAACGTCTGAAATACAGGACACACAACAAGTGTGACAATCCTCCTGAGTTTCCTCTATCACAGACAGAACCATACCAAATGCTCCAACAGGCACTGGTCTGATCTTGCTCCTCCTGACAGCCCTCCTAGGGAACTACTCTCCGGTATGCCGGGAGGCTTCCTTTTCTCCTTCCCTGGGGTATGACAGGTGACAGAAGTGCTGGAGACAACCAAATAAGTGCTAGCAGTCTGAGTTCCCTCTATGGTCATTACACATCCTTTAGGATTCAAATTCTTCTCCAGAAAGCCTTCCTCCTTCACGCAGATACCCTCACACAGTCTTCCCAAAGGCCCACTGCAGCGCTGGGTTTCAGGGCCTAGATTTGGGATAAGCTATAGGAGACTCCACCTTGTCTTCAGGAAGAGATGCATATTTTGACTCTGAGCTCTATGCGGAGATTTAGAGTATCTGTGTATAGTAATATCTGTATTTGCTCTGCGAGGAAGTGGGATAATTGGAGGCCCCAAATTGCCCCAGGCTAATAAACCAAAAACCAAACCAATTGCCCTTGAGTCTGTTTGACTCAGGGACCCACAGGCTGAAAGTCATCCTAAAAGTACAAAAAAAGCCATTGGTGGAAGCAGTCCCCAAACACCCCATACTTTACTGAGTGGGAGATTAACAATGCATAGTGTAGGGGTTGTTTTAATCTTGTTAAAGTGGTAAGACTGGCATTATCAGTGTGCCCAGGGGGCATTGGTGGTTCAGTGATAGAATGATGCTTTCCACGGAGAGACCTAGGTTCTAGTCCCAGTCAATGTACCTCACGTACAGCCACCATCCACCCGTCATTGGAAGCTTGTGTGTTGCTATGATACTGAACAAGTTTCAATGGAACTTCCAGACTAAGATGGACTAGGATAAAAAGCTTTTTGTTCCATTGTGCATAGGGTCAGCATGAGTCAAGGGCTGACTCAGCAATAGTTAACAACATCAGTGTGCCCAGTGTCCCTAGGATTTGTTGGCTGGTGATGGTGGTGACTACTGGGAGGGTCCTCAACTTCAGCCTTTCCTTTCTAGCACCCAGCCAGTTATTTTCTGTTTGCAAAGTTCTCCCAGTCTACTCTCTCGGCCCTGCTCTGTTCCCCAGGAGGTTAAATGCTCTGGATTATATCTTCCAGGATCCCAGCTGGGTTTGGCTAATGGGAGGTGTGAAGGGCTGAGGTGTTTATTCCCTGCACCATCCCTGCCTGGTGGGGTTCTAAGGGCAGCTGTGTCCTCCATGGCCACAGCTCTTTTAGGCAGACCTTCCTCTCTGGCTCTGACTGCTCCCCTACCTCCCCTCACCCCTCAAGCCCAGGGATACTGATGGCTTCCCCCTCTTGCAGTGCTTTAGTGCTTCCCGTCCCTTGTTGTGCCAACTTGCCCTCAGCTAGCTCTCCAACAGGGCCAGTGCTGTGGAGTCAGACCACACCAAGGCATAAATGCCTATAAGGTGCTGGCCCTTTCAGAGGCACAAATGTCCACTTGGGAGTAAGAATAGACTTTCTGGTGCCCACATAGTGCCATGGAAAAGTACACTGTGCCAAGGAGCTATATGGTCTCCCCCAGATTGTACCACATGGGTGAGTGACTATCTGCTCTGCCTTGGGTCCAGCCCTAGCTGAAGGCATTGTTGACTGGGAGGACATGATGTGACCTTGAAAACTGTTACTCATATAAGGTCAGAAGAGACTATTTGCCAGGATGGTTAAGCAATGCATTTCCTACTTATGCAGACAACCTTGTAGCCTGATCTTTTAGAGGTCCTTCTGTTGGCAGTTTTTAAAAAGACAAATAAACATATCTGAGACCTTAACCTCCCCACCCCACCCCCATTCTGAGGTCCTAGCAGGTCCAGGCAACAGCAAGTGACTACTTGAGTGCAGAGGTGCTTTCCCACCTGCTGTAGGCTCACTCACCCTCGCAGCTCTTCCCATCGGCCAGGGTGCGGTATCCGCTGGGGCAGGCACAGCGGTAGGAGCCTGGGGTGTTCACGCACGCATGCATGCAGAGCCGGGGGCGCCCCTCCTGCCTGTAGAGCTCGCACTCATTCACATCTGAGGACAGAAGCACCTGCTGTAATTTCAGGAGCCACTCAGTAGGCACAGACCCACCTGTGAGCCAGGACAGCCACACCTCGATTTCTGGAGGTGATGACAGCTGTGCCTACGTGGCTGGGCCAGATGTGGCTCTCCCAGCAGAGCATCTGGGATAAAGGAGGGGTGTTCTTCTTTTTCCCAAGCCAAGGACCCAGGAGGCTGAAAGGAGAAGTGAGGGGAAGCTGATATCACAGGGCTGATAGACTTTAGGTGGGTTCTGCTGTCTAAAGCTGAAGACTAACTGGGGAGACCTTGCAGAGGGGCAAATCAGGCTGGGTGGCCAATAGAGCAGAGCACAGAGCGGCACACTCAGCCAACACCCTATTACAGTACTATCTTAACCTTCCTCATCTTTGGCAGTGGTTGGAGTGGAGTAAGAGGGGCTCATTTCTTCTGCAGTAAAGTGAGGCTGTTAACACCAACTGAACAATTCTCAGGTTTTGAAGTCCTGGCTTGAGGAGTTTTTGGGGGAAGAAACTGGTCTGTAAAACTAAGCCAGTAGGGGACCAGGGAGTAAGCACAGCTCTAGGGCCTTGTCTATCAGCACAGTGATTCAAGCTCCTCCGCACCTCCCCATTCATCCTTCACTACCACCTGCAGACATGATTCCAGCCTGGATCAAAGAAGGGATGTTGTTGTTGTTATGTGCCATCCAGTCGGACCCGACTCATAGTGACCCCTCCTTGGGTTTCCGAGGCAGTATCACTATGGAAGTAGATAGCCCAACCTTCCTTCCGAGGAGTGGCTAGTGGGTTTGAATCGCCAGACTTCTGGTTTGCAGTCAAGTAAGTGCTTTACTTGACACTACGCTACCAGAGCTCCTGGAGAGGGGATAGAGGGGTCAAAACTCTTCTGTCAGGACAAGCTGGGTTGGCGGAAGCCAGGCCAAGTTCTTGACATCTAGGCAAGCATGGAACCCTCTGCCTGCTTTCACTACAGTTTTGCTTTCTTATGATTTCCCCTAATATCCGCGCACTACAGTCATAGTGACCACTTAGGTGATCACTTACCTAAAGCAACCGGGCATGGCTTTCGGAGACTGCGCTCAGGAAGCCGCCCCGCCTACCCGCACCCTCCGCGCCAACGGGGTGCGCACGCAATCAGGAGGGCGGGGGTGAGGGTGGGAGCCCCCCGTCCGTGCGTACCTGCCCTCTCCCCCAGTCCCCCGTCCCTGCCCTTGGGGCCTGCGCCTACCCTGGCAGATGCTGTTGTCGTCAGCGGCGCCGCTCAGGTGGAATCCGGCTTCGCAGCTGCAGTGCTGCGCCCGCTCCACCTGCGCACAGCGCGGCGCGCGGCTGAAGGAGGAGTCGCCGGCCACGCGGCCCTCGGGGGCGGCTGTGGGGAGAAGACACCCTCAGTGCCAGCCCTGGTGCAACTGCCGTGGGCCCGACCTTGGGGAGGGCTCGGAAGGAGAGCCAAGACGGGGGCACGGCCCCTTCTCAAAGAACTTACTCTGGAGTAGGGAAAGGAAAGACAAGTCATTAACCATAAACTGAGCAGGGCCCAACAAGGGGGACAAAAGGAGTGCACCAGAATGTAATAATAAATGAAAAAGCCCGGCATAAACGGTGCAGAGAGAACTTGCACTGATGTTAAGTCCACGTTTTCATTTAAACAGTCTTAATACTAACAGTGACCTAGGATTTTCAACTATGGGCCACCACGGTTTTTGTTCTTTTTCTACTTTTTAAAAGTCCAAGTTTTTTTCTATCCCCTCGAGAACATAATTTACCTTTATAATTAGGAAAATAAGTCAATTTTTGAAAGTTTTCTAAATATTTAAAGATCTCATATAGTTGGGAGACACTGAAGAGGAATTGGTAGAAAACATAATTGGAGGGTCCCTCCTCTTCCCTGGAACTGGAAAGACACAGGCAGAGCATGATGGGAAGGAGGGTTCAAAGCAGAGGGCCCAGAGCTTAGGTGAGCTGGAGCCCAGGCCCTTTGCTGGACAGTTGATGGACACTGTAGGGACATGAACAAATGCCTGAAGATCCTGACAGCAGGAGAAACCCTGACATACCGGGTTTTTAATATTCAGTGTTCAGGACCAGCACATTTGGGTTCACAAAAGGCCCATGTCTTTTTCCATCTTGTGTGTCAAGAGGAGAGGTAATGGGGCTTCCAAGAAGTCCCTGCCTTGGCCCTGTCTTCACAGAGAGCAACCCTGGGACCCCTCCCAGGGTCAGAAATCTGAAGTAGACCTCTGGGCTCTGACAGAATGTGGCCTTGGTTGGCGAAAGTGCCAGAGTCCCAGCAAGAGCGCTGAGGGTTGACTCAGCTGAACTGAATGAAGACTCAGTAAACAGCAAACTTCTAGAGGCAATATTTAAAACTGACCTTGGGCTAGGTTCAATGCCAGAGTATGTAAGAGTGAAGCCAATCAAATAAAATCAACAAGAATCTATAGAACTCCTGTTCTCTATGCACTTCAATAATCACCACCCCCACCACCCCCAACAGAGATTTCACAGAGGAATAAAGACAACCAAACAGGACAGTTTTTATTTTTTGGCAACGGAATAGGGCATCCTTTGGATTTAACTTTTAAAATAGAAAAAATTTTAGTTGCAACATGGTGTGGGAACCCCGATCTGGCCATAGATTCTCTATCGTTGTTTCTCTCACCATATACAAAACCAGCCAGTGTGTAGCTTCTTAGACCTTCTGGCTGGGGCTATGTTGGGACTCATTTTGTAGATAAAAACCTCATCACCAATTAAAAGCCTTATTATGCAACTCTTAAAATACTTTGTCCTATATCAATAATGAATTTTGCAGGATATGATGGAAACATTTGAAAGGAGAGGCTGTTCCCCTGGCAGAGCAAATGTTGACCAAGCAAAGGTGGCAGCAATGAAACTTCTCAGGCTGAATTCCCAACCTGAGGAGGTCTCAGATTGCGAGCCAGTACTTCCACTTGGATTTTCTTCCATAAGAAGGATCAAAACTCTGTTTATACAAAAGAGCTAAGCTCTGGTCCTAATAACCAACTTAGGGAACCAGAGTGAGGAAGTGAATCCTCTACCTGTCTGCATTTTAGTGATCCAGGACTAGGGTTCTCCACTCTGCAGCATCATGTCCTCACCTAGCCCGAGTGTCTACGTACCAGTCTGGGTCTGATGCTGACAGCGGCTCCCAGTCCTTCCTGGTGGACAAATGCATTTGTATTGGTTGACTCCTTCTACACACGTCCCACCATTTTGACAAGGCTGGCTGGAGCATTCGCTGATATCTAGGAAAATAAATAATTTTCCAATTCATGTGAGTTCTAGTTCTGAAAAATAATGATTGTTTAACTTTCTTAACATGGTAGGGTGACTCCTGCATTCTACCTCCCCACACTGTCCTTTCTATCTTCTCTACCTCCTGAGCTCCTTTTTTTTAAGCTACCAGCAAGAGCTTCTGCCTGCTGGAACTGTCAGCAGTCTAGCCCCATGTGTGGGTGGGGCCAATGGGGCTGAAATTCAGTCCTCCCTCTACTCAGCTAGCCAAGAACCCTTGGCACCACTGTGCCCACCTGGAGCCCTGTGGGTAGGAGCTGGCCAACCACCCAGCCATGCTCCAGCCAGAGGGACCATTTTCTAATTTACAAAGGTGCTTTAGCTGGGCAGAGACAGCTACCCGTGAGCATCTACCCACTTTGCCTTTGAGTCAAGCACTCCTTCCTGTCAGCTCTGCTTCCCTCAGCCAGTACCCAGGTGGAGCACTTTTTGAACAGGAATGCAATTCAGGGAAGTTATAAGAAGGAAGTATGGTCTATTGGAATGTCCAGGGATGGGAAAATTAAAACTTTCACCAAATTCCCATCCAGAAGCTTTCCTGTTCTTCAAATTTCATGTGTGACCAGGTAGTAGTTTCTCTTGACTCATAATATTGGAAAAGGGAAATGTTCCTTGCTGATATAACCAACAGTCCTATGCAAAAGATATGTAGGTAGAGAGATATATATTTGAAAGTTTAATAGATTTTTCTGTGAGTGGTAGGATTCCAGATGATTTTTCTTTGCTTATTTATACTTTTCAAATTATTCTTCCATTTTTCCACATTTATACATTTTCCAATTAGAAAAAAGAAAAAAGATTTTGTAAAACTCTCAAGCCATCCCTTTTTGTCAAGAATTTCTAAGCATAATTTTGGTGCTCGGAGCATGGGCCATCTCTACCAGAGAGATAAGGTTTGTCAGTTCACAGCACCTTGGGAAAGAAAATTGAAAACATCTTCTTGTTGGCATATGATCAGCCTTTCTTGTTGTCTCTCAAGAGGAAGAAAAAGGTGCTTTGCTTCTAAGGAGAATGACAGACTTGTCTGGGTTGGATTGGAAAGCACTTCAACTTCCCTTAAACCTCCTCATGATTGGGATGTTATGTAGACTGTTAGGTAGATCGTATTAATCATGAAAGAACACAGCCTATCCGAATGCTGCTTGGCCCTTGGGAAGGAGCCATGCTAATTTCTCAGCAACCTCGGCCTTGTTTCGCTCTCTGCCATATAGTGTGTTCTCAGGTGACCAATTTCCAGGAATGTGTCTGAAACAACACTGTACACAAATGCCACAGAGCTTGGAATTCCAGTTTCGATCCAGAGTCCAGCCCCATGTTTCTAACCAGTATAGTTTGAAAGTGGACAGACCAGTAGGCCATGATACTGTGGGCAGAGAGCCAAAGACAGTGAACACTAGCATCTTTCAGCAGGGCCCCAGTGGGTCCAGCACCATCATCTCTCCCCTGCTGGGCCTCAAGGGGAAGGCACTGGGCCTTTCCCGCACCTGGATGGTGAGGGTGGGGTGGGGGAGTCATCAACTTGACAGAAATGTACAGGAGCCCTGGGACTTACCTGTGTTCTGTCTCTCTCTCTGGATCCTGTGACCAAAGATGATCATTTCTAGACTGGTTCTATAAAGACTTTCTTTATTTCTCATCTGGATAAGCAGGAGGGACTCAGTGGTCTGACGCCCTCTGTTATAAATTGAATTGTGTCCTCACAAAATAGGCATTGAATTCCTAACCCCTATACCTGTGGAGGGAGCTCTGGTAGCGTAGTGCCTAAGGCACTTGACTACTAACCAGAAGGCTGGCAGTTCAAACCC